TTTTACTTGGAACGAAGTTTAGTCTGTAATGTATTTTCCATTTTGTCCGATGACCATTTGCCGTCTCTCTGACAACTTGAAAATTCCACGCTCGTAGAAAGTCTGATCCTTTTCGGCCAAAAACTGAGTTAAGTGAGATTTTACAGCGTCATCGTCGTTAATAGTTTTACCACGAAGGGAGTTGTCCAGGGATCGAAATAAGTGGTAATCCGATGGCGAGAGATCAGGGCTATATGGTGGGTGTAACATCAATTCCCAAGCAATATCCATGAATTTTTGCCGAGTGGACAAAGACGTGTGCGGCCTAGCATTGTCCTGCTGGAAAATGACGCCTTTACGATCGACCAATTCTGGTCGCTTTTCCTTGACCGCTGCATTCGATTTGTCCAGTTGCTAACATTCACGGATAATAAAAAATAACATAATAATAATAATAATAATTTTATAATATAACATTTACGGATATCATAAAAATGGGAGTGAGAGACGTCTATAACTGAAATCGGCAATTACTTAGTTGCCAACCCAATATATCGCTTTCCCTTTAACGACGACCACGGGACCCGTCTTCGAGGCACCAGAACTATTCTACAATTATTCCGTCGTATTGTCATTTCAAATCGTCGTTGATTTTTTTTCTAGAATCGTGTCTAAAAATTCCGTATGTTTCACGTGGTATTTTTAGCACTGGATTTAACAAATCACTCGGAACGACCGTTTTCCGATTGTTTCATTCACGGTTCCTGTTATTTCAACAATCTTTCGTTAACTTTTTCGTTCGCGCATATATCATGATCGGGTTCGTACGAAGTTCGAGTACGAATCCGATCCTATCGTTTGTCACAAAATAAATATACATTAGCCGCGTACGGGGCTCGATTGTTCTAGCGTCGATTAATTCAATTGCAAATAATTAGTTTCTCCATTATTCATTAGATTTTTCCGACTCGGGAATAAAGACTGATCGATGAAAATAAAACCGGCCGAGGTCGTAAATAAAACACGAATCAACTAATATACGAGCCAATTAGCAGCAGCGATAAATACTGTTTAGGGGGCTTACGGTGCCGTGCGCCTAAGCGATTAAAATTCATGGCAGCCGAAAAATATCGGCAGCCTGGAAGGACGGACCCGCAGAGAACGCGGAGGGAGATCAGAGTTTTCGGCGAACAGTGATCCGATTAATGATTAACGATAACGACTAACGCGAAATCATGTTTGTGATTAATGATTACGATTGCCAAGTAATCGTGATTAATGAATAACTTAAGTGACCGAAACAACTGTAATCGTCGGCCATGATTAACACAGCGCCCATTAATCATGTAACGATCTCGCTCATTTATTATGATTAACTGGAAAGCTTGGTATTATGTTAATTAATAATAATTCTGGACAGTTTTTAGAAAATTCGCATGTATTAAATTTCTCGATCGAAGACATACTTTATTTTGAGTAAACATCAACGGACCCAACATCAAGCGATGAGAAAAGATAAATTCATTATCCATCCGCGATAACGGATTGCTTATCAATGATTACAGATTACTGATTAAAAATTACAGATATCAACGATTAATAATTACAGATTAACGATTAGTAATCACAGATTAACGATTAGTAATCACAGATTAACGATTAATATTTACAGATCGACGATTGCAGATTAATTATTACCGATTGCAGGCTATTGATTCCAGATTACTAATTAATGATTACAGATTACCAAACGTAATCGTGCCTACCTATTTATCCTAACAACGATTAATTGATTAATATTTATGATTATCATGATTAGTTTTCACGGTCAATTACGAAAGCAATCGCGAAACAGTCGATTACCGGCCAACTCCGAGGGACACAAGATTCGCGGACAGCGTCAAAGGGTGTCGTTCGGTTTCCGTATCGTTGAGCCCGTCTTTCATTCCCCCCGAAATCACGTCGAGGAACCGGCCCGCGGCCGAATCGCGCGCGTGATCCCGATTCCGTGGCGTTAACGCCGAGTAAATCCGCTTCGGTCGGCGATTTACGAGCGGTTTTCTCGCGAGCCGGTCGAATAAAAGCGCCCCGGGATTCTGGACCGCGACGGGACAAAAGAAAGGGGCGGCCAATAAAACCGGTTCGCAATTATTATTATCGCTATTACCGTTATCGCGGAGCCCGCGACCGCGAGAAAACCGATTCTTTCTTTCTTCGCTCGGCCGCCAGCTCGTTTTGTTTCGTTCCCCTTCGTTCATTAGCTCGGACAACGTTGTTTGCGAGACGCCGTTAACGTTCCCGTACTTTTCTACCCCCGCCCCCACCCCTCCCCGAGATATTCATAATAAGTTTAATTACATTCGAGAGTGGAAATTAGTCTCGTAAATATATACTCCGCCCGGGAACCATCCAATCAACCAGTCCTTTGTTCCGGACGCGGGTTCGTCGAGGAGAGGAAAGTGCTATCCTTTCGGACGATGATTGATTTCGTTCGAATTGAAAATATCGGAGGAACGCGGAACTTTTGGGGCACAAATATTCGTGCAACGAACAATCTGGTTACTTTTTGATGTAATTTCGACGGTCGTATTACATCACGAAGCGATATTTCATTTATCAAATTTCCCGTGCTATACTTATTTTATTTTTTACCGATCCTTCTTATTTTCTCTATTATATCATTGCGCATATGTTTTTATTTTTATTGTACTCGTGCGCGACTGCTATACTAAAACCCTTATTTATTTTTATTGTTTGTAAGAAAAAAACTTTTTTTATCCGTACACATGAATAATAATGATAATGATTATTATTATAATATATAAAATTATTATAATATATTCGTACATAAAAGAGAAATAATAATAATGATGATGATGATTGTTATTATTATTATATATAAAATGTATATTCATACATAAAAGAGAAATAATAATAATAATAATGATGACGATTATTATTATTATATATAAAATGTATATTCTTATATAAAAAAGAAATAATAATAATAATTATTATTATTATTATACATATAAAATGTATATTCTTACATAGAAGAGAAATAATAATAATATTTATTATTATTATTACTATTATTCACGTGTACGGATAAATAATAATAATTATTATTAATTATTATTATTATTTAATTATTATTATGATAATAATTATTATTATTATTACTTCTCGGAGTGGATTCTCCAATCGTTGAAACGCAGTTGTCCCAAACGACATCGCGATCGAGCGCGTCGAATAATATCAATCCGCAACATGCACGCGCGCACGCACACACACAGATCGCGAGTTGTGAGACGAGAGGAGGGTCCACGGGACGGATCATGATCCGGCTTTCCGTAAAGTAAACGCGACTCTGTGAAGATTTACGATCGCTAACAAGCTGGGTCGGCGGAGGAGTATATTGTTGCTCCCGCCCGGAAAGGATCCTCTTCTTTCTCGAGATATCGACTTCCTCCGGCGGCTCTCATTAATTATTTTCGTGGACGAACGTCACGGGAGAACCGTAGTCGTTCGATCCCCGGTCTATAACCCCTGCGGAAATATTTTGTCAGCCG